GAGCTGGGCCCGGGCTTAGGGGGGAGCTGGGTCTAAAATTACGATTGGGCTTGGAGGATTCAGTTTTATGCTCTGGTTGGTGCAGGTTCTCCACTGTCTTCAGTTGCACTTGGTAAAATAAATACTGGAAATCATTTTCTGGCACCATTTCTACTTCCTATTTTGAATATTTCCCCTTAGCAAATAAATATATTGCAAGGAAATGTGTTTAGCATTAAGCGATTGGCTGCGCAGTCCAGGATATTTGGGATTTGGGAGGTGTTTTGAATTATTTTGGTGACAATCTTGGTCTCTGTGGCGCTTCTCTTAACTCCTGTTTAATTGAACTTCTAGGTCAGCTGCAAGCCAATGCGTATTGCGAGAATCCAGATATCGTCTTAATCGGCAATAAAGCTGATTTATCAGACCAAAGGGAGGTCAACGAAAGGCAAGCGAAAGACCTGGCAGACAAATACGGGTAAGTAAATGACGACAGAAAATCGATTTATTCTATAACCGGTGTAAGCATGGCTAGAAGGTACCTGCCAATATTCTTATAAACTCTGAATTTTTAGTGGAGACGCCGCTGGATTTAGTGGATTTTGACCAGGTTCTAGGTGTGCAGCGGCACTGAATTTATTTGGCGTTCTCCTGCTGGATAATAAATCTGTTAATGGCCTTGTTCTCGTGAGACTGCTGTATTTCTTTGCACTAAAAATACTTGCAGGGTGTCCTGTAACTGGATAAATGGGGAGATGGCTAAGAGATGAGATGGTTAATACAGCTAGGAAATAGTGTCATGGATAAAGAAAATGTGCCTTTTTTCCCCACCCTTAGTTGCCCTTATTGTAAAATTCAGGATGTTCAGAGAGAATTGGGCCAACAAGCAGGATGGTCTGAGAGACTGAGGTGTAGTAAGCAAATTAGACTTAAAAATAATAAAAGATTTATTAAAAGGAGTTGTCAGGTAAGGAGGACAGTGAGGTTGAGGAGAAGGTAGCTTATAGATGATGGACGTGCTCGAGCAATCCATAATCTCTTCTGAAAAATATGATTTGGATGGCAATATTCTGAATTTCAAGACGATTTCAGAGAGGAAACAGCTCCGTTAAGTTGTGTTTAACCACAAATAATTTAATTGCTGCTAAAGCCAGCGTTGATAGCCTGAGGGTTGCATCTTAGTTCTCTTTAGAGGTCTCTGTTTTCCTCTCCACCATAGCATACCCTACTTCGAGACCAGCGCTGCCACCGGGCAGAGGGTGGAGAAGGCGGTGGACACGCTCCTGGACTTGATCATGAAGCGCATGGAGCAGTGCGTGGACAAGACGCAGGGCTCGGACACCGCCAACGGCAGCAGCGCGGGGAAGCTGGACGCGACAAAACCCGAGGAGAAGAAATGTGCCTGCTAAACAGGGAGAAAGCGATGAAAATCGCGCCTCAGAATAAGGCCGGCCTGCTCCCAACTCCAAAATGGCCGACCTACCACTAAATCCAAAATGGCCGACCTACCACAAGATCCAAAATGGCTCCGCGGAGCCTCGCGCAGCAGCAGTCGCGTTGTTTTAGTGGGATTTGGGGGTGTTTTCTCTCCGGAGAACTGGTTTAAAGTGCAAAGCTGTGTTGCGGTGAGGCCCTTGCGCTGCGCGGCGCCATCTCTGTGGAAAACTTTCCCGCTCTTTTTTGTTCCCCCCCCTCAGCCCTCGTCTTGTCTTTTTCCATGCGATTGGATAGAGGAAAGTAGCTTTATTTTTTTAAAATAGGAGGGGGAAAAAACCTCTTGTCTGCGTGCACTGGATGTAGGAATTAAAGTGGAGGTGGGTGGTTTTTTTTAGGCCTGCGCCGTTTTTCCGCTGAATCCCGTTTCTTGCTAATTCTTCATATCTGCGTCAGGGACCACGTGTTTTCTAAGGTAGAGATACAAAGGATTTTACCTAAAAATTTGATCACTTGCACAGAGGAAGCGATGCTGTGAATTGGTCCTGATTGTAGGGGTGGGTTTTGTGTGTGGGTGTGTGGTTTTGGGGGAGGAAGTAGAGCATTTAATTAAAAAAAAAAACCATAAAATTATCAGGGAATTGGGCAGCGTTGCTTGTGCTGCCATGAATCCAAGTTACGGGAAAAATAGAGGTATTTTAAGGCTGCAGGGACAGTTTATAAAGAGTCTAATGTATGGGAACAGAGGAAATAATAGATATATTTTATGAAATGACTTCTTAGCAAAAAATATTCTCCCCTCCTGAACTTAAAGGAAATAATGATCCTTTTTCTGCTGGTTTTTCTGGGTGACCGTGTATCCCAGGTAGGATGTGGGAAAGGACTGGTGGCTCTTTTTGCCCTTAAAAATACTCTGCGAGAGGAAAATCTGTTAAAAATATGATGTGGGACTGAGTTGGAATGATGAGGGTCTAAAATACGTGACCGAAAAGGTGTAGTTGCAGGAGTTTGTGGGTGTTTCGGGTGGAAATAGCTCTGATGGGTGCGACGCGAGAGATTTCTTTTGACAAATAGAGGAAAAACTAAAGTGAAATATTATATTTATAGCTCACTTTTCTAAAGTTACAGCGTATTTCTTCGTCTGCCCTGTCGTTTTTATGTGGAGTACCAGCTCTGCTTTTCTACAGGTGGTAGTTAAAGGTCTGCTTGTGCTTTATTGCGCTTTAATTTACCTTCCAATCATTTGGGAGGGTGCAGATTTGGGGGGAAAAAACCCCAAACCAGATCTTTGCAAGTCAAACTTAATGATTTGTGGTAGTTAAGAGGCAGGAGGTGTAGTACAACATCCATTTGAATTTGCAAATACGAATATCTTATTGCTACTTACTTCTTACTTTCTTTTTAAAGAAATTTGTGGCTGCGTATGCAACTGTTACCCCCCAGAAAGGGATTTTTTTCCATTGGAATTCTGCTTGGAGGAAGGAAAGATAAAATTTAAACGGGTTTCCTTTCCTGGGTATGGTAGACTTAATTAAATAAATGTAGTGATTCAATGAATTAAGACAAGGGGAATGTGATAAGTGATTGTAAACGGCTGCCAACAGCTTTTGGTGTTTATCAGCTGAACTCTCGTAGCCAAAAAGTAATTATTTCTTACTAAAAACGGCTTTGTGTCCCTTCCCCATCATCATTTGACTCAGGTTTTTTTTTAATTCCTAATTGCCGTGGTAGGAACTGAAGGCGATAGCAAGGTAAGCCCTGTGTCGTATCCAGGATGGAGGAGTAACTTAGGACGGGCACTACAAGGCCGTTACTCGCGCTCTTACACAGCCGTGCCTCTATGGACGGGGATTTTTTCCATCCCAGGTACTGGAATATACTGGGAAATGAATTTGAGGCCAGCCACTGGTTTCTCCAATTCCCTTTTAAGAAATCTCATATTTTAGTTTTCCAGTATCTCTTATACCGAGAATAATTTGGGTTTCCTCGTCTCTCCGTGTAGTTTTACCTTCAGCAGCCACCTCAGGCTGCAATACCCAACTCCCTGTTCAATCTTTGCCCTTCTTTCCCAGTTAATCCACACTATTCACCTATTTTTTCTCCTCATTTTAAGCCTGAACGTAAAAATGCAGCACCGAAACATGTCAACCCTTACTTGCTCTTAAATCTTTGCGTTGCCAAAGTCCAGTGCCAAAGCGTGGGGTTGCTGCTCCCTTTAGGAGCTGCTCCATACGGCGAATTCACAGCCAGGGGTAACACTTGGAGTAAGGATGCTCCGAATTAGCAGGGAACGGCTTGAAGCCGATGTTGCTGCTCTTACTTTGCCCTTGCAAGGGGAGTGCCCAGACTTTGCTTTTGGGCACGTAAGGAGGAAAATTGTGCTGTTAAATGTGAAATTCTTTTAATATATGCAGTGAAAATACCTCTTTTTTTTTGGCTGTAGAGAGCAGAATTTGTCATCCTGGGTTTCTATGATGCTGCTACAGTGCCCGGGCCAGGCAAAGGGAGATGCCAAGGATGGGCCTTTTCTGTATTTGATTTTAAATACAACCCAGGCATGAAGAAAAGTGTTATTTAATCAACTGAAAAAAGAGCATTAATGACCATTTTTATTGCACAGATTTTAAGCAGGTGCCTGTTGCTGACCACAGGAGGGTTAGAAACAGCAGAGGACCGGGACATAGCATCACATCATCACCCATTTTAGCCTTCAGAATCATTGCTTTCATTTTAGGAGCTACTTATGGCAGTGATCAGCTTGTAATAGGTGGGTTTTTTCCTCCTTGTTTTAATGATTTTATTCTAAATAAATGCGTTTCTTGATGTGGCAGAGGCCCTGCTTGGCCGAGTCCAGCTCGGCACCCGCCTGCGCCGCGGCACTAAAGAAAACCTATAGCAGGGAAAGGTATTTGCGTCTCTAAAAGTACAGGTGTTAGGTGCCCGAAACATGCTTTTTTTCATTAAAAAAGAGGAAAAATAAGGCAAAAAATAGGCAATTTGCTGAGGCTGGCAGTGGGTATGGTTGTAGCAAGGACTATTTGGGAGCAGGGGCCGTTTTTGCGCTGTCGTGGTGATTGATTTTTCTACAAACCTCTTGCCTTAACTGTTTGCTGAAGGTTTTACCTCGTATTTCACGTCCTGAATGTGTTCCAGGGGTGTCCTGAACGCGTTTACACCTGCGAGGATGGGATCAGGTAAGAAACTCTCTGCTAAATCCGATGCGATTTTGCTACCTGCTCCATTTGGGGACTGGTTACAGAGGTTTTTAACTCAAGTAACTGTTTCAGTCCATGGATATGATGAAATTTTCAGCCTAAACTTTGAGAAAAACCCTCACTTAGAGCTGTTATTTTAAAATAATTTGTGGTTTTGGCACTTTAATTGAAGAAAAGTAGCAAAAATAAGCTGCAGCGAGCGTTGTTTTCTGTAGAGGTGTGAATGCTGGGGGGGGGAGTTTCAGGCCCTGCTCTGCTCTCATGGATAAAAGAAGGGGAAACTTGGTATAACTGAGGTGAAGCTGTTAAAATTAATGGGGTTTCCTTGACTTTTGAGGCACCTTGGAAGAGAAAAGCCACATTTTCACAGCTTTACTTCTATATTTTAAACAGAAAACTCCCTATATATTGGGGTTGGGTTTTTTTTGGAGTGATTTTTCCAGAGGATGCTGTTCCTTTGAGCCTGTTCTCGTTGCTGCTGGGCAGCTCCCTTCCTAATTTATTCTTCATGAATTATTTCTGAAAGGCGACAGAGGGAAATGATCCTTTTGCTGCGTGCTTTTACCCTCGGATTTTAGGAAATAGACCCTCGAAGTTGTCCGTCCTCATCGTGCAATAGGGCTCAGCGGGACCGAGTGTGGCGTTCGAAGCAGCCTGGTAGATTTGATTCCGTTTCTAGCAGTTAAAAGTGGTTCTTTTTTTGGGTCAGTTAAGGTGTTTTGATGAGCACTGAGCACCCTGTATCAGTGAATTCGGTGTTTTTCCTGCTGCAAGCGTGGGTTTTGTGTGATTGAAACTCCCTTCCCTACCAGTACCGGTCCTTTTTTATTAGGAATACCCCTGTTTAACACCACTTTGTTGTACCAAAGCACCCTACAAAGCGTCCCGTCCGCTGCTTCACCACCGGTGCCCGGGTTTGTGCCGTACAGCTGAGGAATGTAACCCTGCCATCCCCTTTCCTGCTGTTGTTATATTTTTTTCGGAATAAAAAAAAGGACATTTTTTTTCAATGCAGACTTTCAGCTCTTTTGGGGTTGGAGGGGGAAGCAGAGGCTTCTCCCGTGGAGTTAAAGCTGTTTTATGGAGCATTAGCAAGCTGGAAAAGAAGCGGAGGAGGTTTTAGGGTGGCGTTTGCAAACCTCGGCTGCGCCTTGAGCTCGGTTGCTCCCGAAAAATGAGGGGGAAAGGAGCGATTTGGCAAGGAAATGGTACCATTTATAAAGGTATTAACGCGCTGCCAAGCTTTGATTTGTACTTTAACTGAGTTGATCTGTGTGTAAAGAAAGTAGCTGAAGTTAGGGAAGAGAAGGAACGAACCGAAACTTATAAACCTTTAAGCTTTTATTTCAGTGTCAATGCTTTTGTTGTGCAGCATCTCTAAAACAGGGGATTACTGACCACTGCAGCATCTCTCCCACGTTAAGGGGGGAGAAAACCCAGCCACATTCCTCTCCAAAAGGGATTTAAGCTGGAGGAAAAGCCCAATGAGGAGCTTCCCAATGAGGAAACTTCATATTTGCCATGGGAAGAGCCCATTTAATGCACAGAAGGCTCCACACCGAGGCCACTGCTGCTGCTCCACCAAAACCACACTGTGCTTGTGAGGTCCCAACGCCGGAGCCCCCCAAAAGGACAGGACCCCCTCTCCACCTCCACCCTACGACAGATGGGACCGTGGCGACCGTATCAAGGTACCGAGGAGATGAAGGTTTATTTTATTTTATAACCTTATTTAAACACGAGGAAGGAGGAGTTAAACT